AAGCTTCTCATCTGGTTCTTTCCATGATCCATCATGCTTAAGTTTTCTTGGTAAAGTATCCATATCTTTATCGACAAAGTCTTCTACGAATTCATTGCATTTATCTCGTATGATTTGTGAAAGTGACGAAGGGACCATATCATCTTTTGGTTTCTAATAATAACGTAAATTAATGAGTTAAACAAATTTTTCATTGAAATTTTATAGAGTATTAGTATTCACCATAAAAAGTTCTTTTTGACGATCTGGTAATTGTCGTACCAGATCTGAATGATCACTTATCACTTGGCTCGCAAGAGGTTCTTTCCAGTTCAACTGAGAGATAGAAATCCGATTGACACCGAGAAGTAATTTCTCGTAAAGTACTGCCATATTCTTCTTAAGTAGTGCCGAACCATTGGTAAGTTTACCCTTTAGTGCATTAATATTTTTTTGGATTCGGTTCGGCCCTTCTTCATTAATTTTTACCGCTCCTATTTTATGTAAGCTATAGACAGTTTTGTAGGAAATTTCGAACTAACGCAGACATACAATTAATTAATTCCCAATTATATAGTCGAAAAATATAATTATTAAAAGCGCATGCGCCGTCAGATGATAATAAAGCCCTATTCACGTGTGGTTAGCTACTCCAACACGCAAACAAGTCTTTATGTGATACTAAAGCAACCACATAGAATTGAACATATTTCTATAGCCTAATATTCTCCACACTGCCGAGGAAAATTTTTTCCTGTGAGTGGGCTAATAGAACATTAGGTTATTATGTTCTCTTCCTCAGAATGGTACCACTGCCTGCGTAATCATCATTCAAAATAGGTGTTTTATTTGCCCATGAGATTTTAAAACTTACCTCAACTAGAATGTCAGAAAGGGCCTTCTTATGTGAGGAATGTTTTTTCGCAAATGCTATAGCTCGTCCGATAATATTTTTCAACTCATTTTTAGGTATCCAGGGATTATCTTCGATTCCCTTATAGATAATAGACCCGGCGGTAATATTTTCTTCCTCGGCATTTAACAAAAAATTGAGAATTTTATTGTACCGTATTTTCGCGGAATAACGCTCATGAGCGTTATTTCGAAAATTGCGCCCTCTAAAAATAACATTTATAGCTTCAAAATAATGCCCATGCGCGTCCCGAAATAACGCGCATCTTATAGTAAGGGGTGCTTATTTACAACAAATGCTCTGGAACTAGATTCACTTAGTATCAACCTAGCTCCGAAACATTTTTTGTTTTTAGACAAGATGCTCAAGATTTTTACATTTGTCCCAAAATAACGCATGCGCGTACTCAAAATAACGCGCATATACTCAAAATAACGCGCAGATGAGCGTTATTCCGCGAAAATACGGTACAAGTTGTTATTCATGGTAAATATTTTTGTAAGATAATAAATTGTACGTGAGTTAATGAGAATTAATGAGAATTAATGAGAATTAATGAGAAAGCAATAAAATCACTACAAAAGCGATGAATAACTGTAAATCTGATATACTGCCCTATTTATGCATTTTTCATATTCTGAAACTCGAAATGTATAGGAAGGTTAGTCAAAGTTGCATTCTTACATCAAAAAAATTTTGAAAATAGAAATCGATATATGTATTTCCTACAAAGAAATTTCTATTGATGGGAGCAAAGCATGAACTGAACTTTTATATAAATGCATGTATCACAAGTATCTGACCATTTTTGGCCTGTGAATTTTCTGTCGCACAGATAATCTACTATGTTAAAATAAATTCAGAACATATGTGGCATGAGTTAATTGACCAACTTCGGTTAGAGACTAATTCTGATAAATTGGCAGTTTCTACTTGTGCCCCGTCTCACAAATTAGTTATGCATAACGATAAGCCCCTATTTTCTCATAAATTCGAAAATAGAAAAA